AAGTAGTATTGGAAAAACTGGTTATCCACATGCAAAGGGAAGACATTAGACCACTGTTACACAGTACACAAAAATCAACTCAAGAGACATAAAAAATGAAACAATAAATCTAGAAGAAAATAGGAAAACCTTTGCAGTATTTGTGTTGACAGTGATTTATTAGATTTGGGCAATAAATGCAAAAGATGAGCAACAAAAGCAAAAACAGACAAACAGGACTCTATTAAACTAAAAGAATTCTGCACAGCAAAATAAACAGTGAAAATGAATCTTCCTTTGGTCTGGCTTCTGGCAACCCTGACTCTTTAAGGCATAATCCAAACATTGGGAATTGTCCTGTTTATCATTTTAATAGTCACCCTGGTACACCGAATCCTCTCAAAACCTGGAAGTGCATATTTGCAGCTCTTCACCACCAAGCAAAAGGTCTCCCTCTGGCACATCAGAAGAGGAGAATATGACTCTGAAATCTTAATCTAAATTACCTGTGAACACTATATAGGACATCACCAAAAACTGAGTGGTGCTGATGCTTCAATGAGAGTTTTGATCAAGAGCAGGGATTTGCTAAGGAAAAAAAAATCTAAATGGAGTTCACAACTGGCCTCTACCTAGGTATTTGCTAAGGAAAAAAAAATCTAAATGGAGTTCACACCTGGCCTCTACCTAGGCTTAATACCTAATCTTATTGCAGTTTCAACTTCTCTCAAAATGGACTCCTAAACCAAACAGGAATTTCCTAATCACCAGAAATATCTGCATATTAAATTCCATCTACACCCCAGGATAGATGGGTTTTACCTAAAATAATCTTTTCCTACCAATTTTGTCTCATCCTCTTTGTATTCTTCATTTTATATAACCCCTTATAGTATCTAGGTGGGATACTGCCTAATTCATTGTTCCATTATTAAAGTCATATCTCTAATTTATGAATTTTTGTTAACAATACTTTTCAGCTTTAAAAAAAAAAGTAGAAACCTTATGATAATCAACAGCATGATGAACTTTAAGGACATTATAGTAAAGTCAACGAGTTGCAGAATGGCAAACTGAATAGAAGCTTGTACAAGATATCTAAAGCAGTGAAATTCATAGAATCAAATACAATGTTAGTAGTCAAGGGCTGGGAGGAAAGAAAAATGGGAGTTGTTCAGTGAGGATAATTTCAGTTATAAAACATGACCAAGTTTAGAGATCTGTTGTATCATGATGTATACAGTAATATTGTACTGTATGCTTTAAAAGTTAAGAGGATACTTCTCAAGTTTGTTACTATAATAAATAAAAAATATTTTAAAAAAACACTTGCCTGGCAAGAAACAACATGAAAATCTTAAAATACGTGAAAATATTTAGTGTATTCTGAAACAGTACTTACCAATTTTAAACATATATATAGTTCTTAATCCAACAATTCCATTTCTACAAATTTGGTCTAGGGAAAAATCAAGGATCAAAAGGTACAAATATCTAGTTATAGGTAATGTACAAAATAGTGATTAATAACGTGTCTTTTAAAGTTACTAAGGGAGTAGATCTTAAAAGTTCTCACACATACAAAAACTAATTTTGGGACCTCCCTAGTGGCGCAACAGGTTAAATTGTAACCATGAAGCTAGCTGCAACCACTGCAGTTCTAGTTCCATCCCTGGCCAGTGAGGTACCCCACATGGCACAGTAGACCTCTCCTGTCTCTCCTATAGCTCCCCTCAGCAGTGTTATTTCAGTACATCTGCCTCTTCTACTCCCCACTGTCTGATGAACCTCACACCCTACACATCTGGCCTGAACCCAGCTCTTGTGTGCACATGTAAATGAATCTTTAAAAAAAATTGTAATCTTGTGAGTAGTAGATATGCTCACTAACCTGTGTAATCATTTTTCAATATATACACATAACAACCAGTTACATACCTTAAATTTATACAAGTTATGTCAATATTAAGCTTGAAGTGGAACTGACTATGCAAACTTATATGCGTTAAGGGTTTTCACCATTTGGTTGAATATTCATTGACAGCCCTCGATTAAACACTGGCACATGGTATGAGGTAATACTGTGCAAGCAGGTAAGGGTGAGAAAGATCTCCATGTATTTACTTAGATGGAATGATGTTAATTGGTACCAACAGTAATACTATACAATACAGTGCAAACAATAAACATATGAATATAAATGTTTATCAAAAACCTGGAAAATTTTAAGTGAATTATACAGTAGATTTTATTTTATTTTTTGCTGTCATTTAGGTTTTTTAAAAAAAAAATCCTATGATTAATGTATTTATTTTTAGGGTAAAAAAATGTTTGACAAACCAATTAATTACTAAGCTATGTTTTTTGGAATCCAAGGATTCTATAGGGTGATCTCCACTGGGAGGATCCCTGAAGCTAGAAGTCCTTAGGGCCAACTGAGACTCTGGGTTAGGGAAAAAGGTACCATCTGGAGAGAATTGTACATTAAGATGCCAATTGTACTGGAGATGCCCAGTTCCATGCAGAAGCAGTTGCGCTACGCAGCAGGCCAGCCAGTGGTACAGATCATAAGCGTTCCTTGTTCGTGGCAATAAGTGATGTTATCCTTTTTCATAAAGACAATCTAGATCATCAACTACAGAGCTCTTAGCAAACTCAATACTTCACCCTCATCCAAAGCTGTATCTAGCCTCATCCAAACGGCCCTTTTGAATAACTCCTTCTATTAAGCAAGAGTTCTTGGGAGGAAATGTTGAAGGTGAAAACACTAGGAGACTCATACTTGGGATGGAACTGGACATCCCAAATGTGATGTGATAAAAAGACCTAGACATAAGGAAATAAGTTCCTTATGTGTAGGTCCTTTTTTTCTTTTTTCATTATTTACATATTTATTATTTTGTGTGTAGATTTTCTTAACCCCTATTGTGCCATGGACTCCTACTTGACAGTCTGTTGGTATTTATGACACCCTCTCACAATGTTTTTATTATTACTTTTTAAAGATTTACTTATTTATATATACAATAACAGGTACAGGGCAGAAATGCAGAGGGTGAGTGTATTTACCAGAAACAGAGTGGGGAACAGCACAGGTAAATTTACTGAAATACACTGCTGAGGGGAGCATCAGGTGAGACAGGAGAGGTCTGTTCCGTCATATGGGTCAGCTCCCTGGCCAGGGCTTGAACTCATGGTGCAGTGGAGAGTTTCATAGTGCTGAGGCCTGACCCCTTGCACCACCAGGGAGGCCTCACAATGTTTTTAATGAATTTATGACTACAAAGAAAACAGTCATACTGAAATAAGGTTATACAAATCCTAGAAAAATAATATATATATATATATCATTAGCCTTATTTAATTTACACAGAGAGGCATCAGGGAAGACATATGTACTCTTCTGTATTAGACAATATATTTAAAGTAAAGCGAAATTGAAGTTAAAATTTATTTTTATAGAGACATCAATATGAAAGCTGTTGTTACTAGGCTTGGCTAATAAAACTATGTGGGTGGTCTTGTGACTCAGTTCCTTCCACGTAGACAGTGTGCACAGCAGGTCTATATTTAGCTGGCCACCCACATGACTCCCAAAGCTATACAGGATCACATATGGTATAAAGGTTTAACAACTACCATATTTTGAGCTACAATTAAATATTTTGAAGTATCTGCAATAATTCAATGTAGTACTTGTGACTACTGATGCTAACAAAGTCATAGGTATCAAAAAAAACTAAGGTTTGTGTCTATTAACATCACCTAAATAACTTTGAGACAGTAAAAACATGTAATTTTTTCCCCTGTATGATCAGACTCCAGATTAAAAACCCATTGAGAGATAACTCACAATTAGTATAAACATACATAGATATTTTATGTAAACAGCACTTTACCTGTTTCATGCGTACATGGAAATACAGAATTAAAATTTCCACAGGATATTTTGATTTATAAACCTTTATAATTAGAAAGTAATTTAGACTTCATTATTTTTTTTTGCATGACTTCAAGGACCCAAACTAGTAACTTGTTTTAAATAGCAGTTATGTTTCAAAAGTACAAAACCATCCTACATGGATGACAAACCATAAGGGCAGCTCACGTAAACTTGATAGTGGCTTATGTAAACCATAACAGCAGTCCCTCTATACCTAGAAGTCAAATCTTATTAAGGGGACTCAGGTCGGGAAATGTCTTCTCCAAACGTCTGTCATTCAGACGGCTATACCAGAATTGTATAGACTGAGAGACTTATAAACTAAAAATTATTTTTCATAGTTCTGGAGACTGGGAAGTACAAGATCAAAGCAAGGCAGTAGGTTCAGTGTCCGGTGAGGGTTGTTTTATGGTTCAAAGAGAGACGCTTTTTGACTAGTTAACTTTCTGGGGTGGAGTTTCTTTTATTAGGGCAAAACCACTTATTGTCAAATTCATTTATTCCTAATCCTTTTCGTATCAATCTCCATTCAAAAGACTTAAAGGTTTAAAATTCCAATTCTCCGCTCCACTTTTTGAAGCTACAGACAATCTTGTTACAAATTATGGCCAATAGAGTATGCTGGGATCTGTTGTGGGGTTTTGAGGGAAGGTTTGGCTTTTATGAGGAAAGGATCAGCTGTGGAGACTGTCTTCTTTCTCTGTTTTCCTATCTTGGATTCAGACTCACTGCTTACAGTGGAATGACTATTTGGTTATTGTGAGGGAAAAACCAAAAGACTCTCAGAGACCTTGGTATTGTGGAGTCACTAAGTCAGTATCAGAGGCCAGCTTCTCTGGATTTCTTATTAATAAAGCACTATTTGAAAAACATTTGCTACTTGAATCTTCCATTATTTGAAAGAGAAAACATTCCTGATTTAAAAAAATAGAAACAAAAAATTTTAAGTGGTATGAACAAAGGATTTTGACCGAAAAACTAGAAGTTGATGTATGTATTAATGTATTGTTGAAAATGATTTGTTATCAGAAAGTTTTGTGTAATGAATTAGAAATGAATATATGGAGGCAAATAGGAAAATGTTTGATTAATTTTTTGCTAACTGTGAACATACTTTCCACTTAATCTATTGATATATTATCTTAATCCTAATACTAAACATATTTATCCATTGTCTTTTGTTTGAAGTCAAATAAAATTTTAGTACCCAAAACACATTTTCAAGAAAATTTTATGTGTATATATGTAAAGAAACAATGAAACAGCACCAAGGACCTCTGTAAAATTTCATCATACAATTTCTGTGTAAGATGTTTCACTAAAAAACAGTAATTTGTTTTAAAAGCATGTAATTTAAAAAAATTTAACTAGATGAGTTTTTTCCAAAAGATACTTCAGACATTCGAATCAATACAACCTGTCTTTTGGATATCAACTTGAATGGCACAGATTACAACGAGAACCCTTCACGAAGCATTGAAGATATGATGTAATCCACGTTGGTACTGCCCTTCCTCAGACTGAGGCCGCCTAGCATAAGTATCTTCTACTCCTGAGAGGTGAGTTACGTCAAGATGGCTCATCAGCTAAATCACGTTGGTCAAAATACCTAGTAAAAAAATAAATATATGCTAAACATACTCATTGCAGCACTATCTGTAATCACATTTTAATAGGAAAAGACTGCAAACCATTCAATTGTCCATCAATAAGGGGATGGGTGGAAGACTATGAAGCTTTTTTTTTTTTTTAAAGATTTATTTATTTATTCATACAGAACTGGGGTACAGGCCAGAGACGCGGAGGGTGAGAGGATTCACCAGAGACAGAGCAGGGAGCAGGACAGGCAGATCGACGAAGTACACTGCTGAGGGGAGCAGCGGGCGGGTCAGGAGAGGTCTGCCACACCATGTGGTCACCTCCGGGGCAGGCGGGAATTGAACTCATGCGGAAGTGGTTTAAGCTTCTCAGTGCAGTGCTTTAACCCGCTGCGCCACCAGGGAGGGCCGACTATGAAGCTTTTATAAAAAAAGAATGAAGAAAATACCTATACTGCTATAGTGATTTCCAGGATTATTAAGTAATAAGCAAAAAGTTTAGTGTGTTCAGAATGTTACCTTTTTTGAGCATATGTAGGATTGCGGATGTATTTACTTATACTTTAAAAAAAACAATGAATAGAAGAATAAAAAAATTAATAGTAAAATGGATAACTAGAGAAAAAGAGGATAGGAGAGGATACAGGTAGATTCCAAAATATTCCAAATGTACTTCAAAGTATAATTTTTTTTAATGATTCATTGTCACTAATTTAAAAAGAGAAACATTTGATAAAATAGTCTTTGAACATGAATTCGTATCTACTATTAACATGTTTGGATCATTTAGATTTTTAATAAATCCTTCTAAATTCTTGCTTATTTTATATTCCTTTTCAATCACTTCTTAGCCATTTTTTGGACTTTTTACCTTTTTAAAATAATAGTTTATTTTTACCTCATTTTGTGCCTTTTCCATCTCAGTTATAATCCCTGTGGGCTTCTCATTAACAAATCACCTGTGTGCCATCACCCTACTCCAGTGCACTTCCCTCTCCCCACCGTTTTTGATTCTATTCCCCATTTCACCCCCACTAAAATGTCTCTGGTATATAGTTGTTCATTATTATTATCATTTTCTCCCCTGGTCCTTTATACTCCTGTTATGAGTCGAACTATAATTTTAACTTTGGACCAACGTAAACACTTATGTAATTATAAAACAAGAGCAAGTAAATAAAATTACTAGTCATATTCTACCAAATAAACCGTCCTACATAAAAAGTTGGTATTATAACTACAGAGAAGAAAATAATTTTGTTAGCTGTTCCTAGTAAGATATACCAGAGACAAAGAAATGCAAACAATTTTAAACTGATTTCAATAGTGTTACTGAAGGTCATTTGTTAGTATTGTTACCTTGAAATTATGTGCATATGATAGGGTAAAGTTAATAATTATATAATATTGTTAGAAACCAGAATTTTTAGCGTAGGATAAAAGAACTGTATTATGGAAAGATCATCTAACCTTCACTTGGAACTAAAATACCGATTTGAATGTAGAATTTTATTTTTTCTTTTTCCTAGTTTTGGTCACTGAAAAACCTAAATATAATAACCAGCCTATTACAACTAGCATTGCAAATGTTGAAATTTTGAATGCTCAATGGCATTTTCTAATTAAAAGATGAACCAGCACTCCCTAGAGAAAAGACTGATTCCAGATTTAGAGCCAGATATATCCAAAACATATCTGACTCACCTTGGTATACCAGAAAAAAAGAAAGCTATACAAAATCAATAGGGAAATAAAACAACAAAAAAATTATATAATGAAGGATATAATTGGACTTTTAGTAGTGAATTTAATGTAGTAAATACAGATGTTAAATTTTTAATGATACATTACTGACACTTATAATTTATATATTCAATGTAACTTCAATTAAAAAAAAATCATAGGAATTGACCTGAAGGGATCACCTTGGTTAAACATGGAATAATTTGAGCATCACAAAATAGCATCACTAATTGTAATAGAGTCTAATATTTTAAGTGTTAAAATCTCTATATTCAAAATGATTAAAAACAACAACAGAAACTACCTTAACTGGTCATATTTGGGGAATGTCAACTCATTCCAACAAAAATCAGTAAATAAAGGGAATGTCTAACAAACATCTTTCTTTCTTTCTTTTTTTTTGGGTAAAAACTATATTTCAGGGTAGCAAATTGTTGAAGGGTAGTTATTTGTTATATAAAAAATTTTAGCTAGGCACTCCTGCTGGTGCAACAGATTAGGACGCAGCACTGTAAGCTAGTGGCAGCAGCTTCAGTGCGAGTTCCATTCCCTGGCCCGGAGGCGAGACACATCTGGCGGCAGACCTCTCCCGAGTGTCTAGCCCGCTGCTCCCCTCAGCAGTGTCCTTTGTTCATCAACCTAGTCTGCTCCCCACTCTGTCTCTGGTGAATCCTCTCACCACCCCTGCACCTTTGGCCTGTACCCTAGTTCTGTATGCATAAATAAATCTTAAAAAAGTTAATGGATGAAGAGTGAATGATAGAAAGACCAGCATTTTAAACTTTCTAATGAAATAATGGATCTATACACTAATCATCAATGGCTGCCAAAACTAAGATGTAAAAGGTTCATAGTTTACCTGGACATAGGGACCAACTTTGTCACAACCAGAAGTGGGATAGACATTATGTGGCGTATATGGTCTTGTTAAATACAAAACCACGAGAGGCAATGAATCTTATAAACTTAACTACTAGTTTATAGAAAATATGGGTATAAATGAAACCACTAAATACCACCATGAAGAAATAGCTGCTAAAACCAAACATGGTATATTTTACAAGTCAGTGGACCCAGATCGTCAACAAACAAATGGCAAAGGAAAAACTGCAAGGGGTTGATAGGGAGACTTGACAAAATTTGGATCCTGCTTTGAACAATTCAAATGTAAAAAGACACCTCTGAGGCAATAAAAGAATATGAAACATGGACAGGGTATCAGATGATACTGCGGAAACTGATTATATGTATTAGGTATGATGCCAGTATTACCAAGGTTTTGAAAACAACACTAGTTTAGATATATGTTAAAACAGGAAGAATGACATATTTGAGATTTGTTTAAAATACAAAAAAGATAAATGAAACATCTTGGTGCAGAGTTAACTGTTGAAGCTGGATGCCAGACTGGTCTGCAGGAAGGGTGATAGGTAGGGGTAAGGCAATATTCTGTTACATTAATATGGATTTTAAAACCAATGTAATAAGCAACTTAAAAAATAATCATTCATAAAGTATAAAGCAGCTAACATACAGCTACTGGATCCCATTTGAATGGTATTCCTTCTGAATAGGTATTCTAGGAACAGAAGTTAACTGCCTTAAAGGTGTCAAAATAAGAAAACCAACAACAAAATACAAGACAGTTATAGTGATAGCTGATAACTTATATTGGAATTGCTACTTCAAAGTTATCCTTTCTGAAAACTTACTATCATCTTCTGTAAGTATCCTAAGAGAAGCCTATAGTTTCAAAAACTTCCACTCTAGATCTTACCCAACCTTTTGAGGAAAACAAAGATAAAGACCTATGCACTCGGGTACTTCTTTCCTCATAATCGTGTAACAGAAAATATCAGTGACTTAGCAGCATCACATATGTTTCAGTCTCTAGTGCCATTATTTACAGGGCTATTGATTACTTAATATTTGTGAACCTTGTCCTCATGTGAAAAAAGGTAAAAAACATGTTGAGTTGTTGCAAGGACTAGAGATACAATGTACGCTGTACCTAGGGCAACTGTGTGTCCTCGTTTAATTCTTACTACCAATAGTTGAGGTAGGTATTGTCTTTGTGACCAGCATAGTTAAGAGAATAGCTCTAAAGTAAAACTGCTTGGGTTTGCCATTTCCAGTTTTGTGATGGCCAAAAATTGTTTCGCCTCACTTTGTCATGTTTTCTCATCTTTAAACTGGCAACAGTACCTACCTTCTAGATATTAAAGTAGTTCCTATAAGCACTAAGAAAATGCTTTGCTCCAAGTGGTCATTAAGTGTTAATTATCATCAGCAATATAGTTATTATAGATCAAGAAAGTAAATGTTGAATATGTAGGTAGGTATGTTGAAGATACTCTGAAAAGTGGTTTCTTTTTGGAAGAGAAAAATATGGACACAGGATTACTTAGCCACAAACATTTACATTATGAAGCTTTAAAATTGTAATTAAACTGTAATAAAACACAGACCAATGGAGCAAAAGTTCTATTTAAGTACTGTTTAAGACCTCAAATATGTGTGCCTATGTGTAACTATTTAAGCATAACAAACTCACACACAAGAATTCAGAATTTAAAAAAAAAAAAGGTTTCTAACAAAGTCTGAGTGGAATTGCAATGTAAAAAATCATATCAAACAAAATATACATGAAAATATGCCAGTTGAAAATAATGAAAGGACCTATTCGACCAAAAAAATACAAATGCAATAAAATGAAACAATGAAACATATTCACCAATTTCTGGTATTAAGTCAAAAGCAAATGAAAATAATTTGATTGTATTTTTTAAATATTAGAAAGGAAATATTTAGATCCCATGAAAATACCTAGTGCTGACAAGGAGAAAAGTATTGTCACTCACACTTCAGAAGGAACATGGAAGTATGAATTTTCTGGAGGGCAAACTGGCAATAAACATCTCAGTTTTAAAAGTATATGCTCTTTGACTCATTCAAGGAAATTATCCTCAGAAATAATGGAACCATGTAAGAATCTTAACTGCAGCATTATTCAGAGAAAAACTAGAAACAAGGGAATTTTCTTACATCTGTTTTCCTACACCTTGATTTCTGCTACTGTAATTTTAAAAACAACAATCACCATTAATAGTACCATTATGAAGGAAAAATCGTAAGTTGTTCCTTACCTGCTAACCAAGCAGATCAATAAATTCAAAGCAGGAACCCTCTCATCATCTTTGCTGTCCTAAAAATAAAAAGTAAGTCAAAAATGTTGTCTTCTCCCCTAAGATCTTTAAAAAAATATCCTTTTACTACATGATATTAAGGTTCACATGAAATAGGAAACCTCAAAGAAAAAGGAGTTAATGATCCCTTGAGAAAAGGGAGGCACATTAAACATCATCTATTAAAAAAAGAGCCTGAATATCAAAAAGAAATGAGGTAAAGAACCAAAAAAAAGTCTATACCTCTACTGGAAAATGGAAAAAAAGCTTAAAGAAATTATAATTAAGTAGTGAAATACTGTGACTTATAGTATAAGACATATTAAAAATATTCTCAATTTATTAGTGCTCTCAATTACATTGTAGGTAGATACTGAAATTGAAGTTTTAGAAAGCTTATTTTAAATATTTATTAAAATGATATACCAACACACAAGAAAAATTGTCTTATGGAATATACAATTTATTTTTATGCATTTCAAAGAACAGTTACAATAGGCTATTAAATGTTATAACAGACATGTCATATAGTCATTCAAACTTAGGACACACTTCTACTTAAATGTATTCAATTCTTCTATGTGCCAAGGACTATGTGGAACAAAGCGAATAAAACACATTAGTGGAAACAGCACAAAATATGAAATATGCAC